ACAATAGTGCACATTCTGTACATTTCACAGATTGTATTTAGTATCAAAGAGAGATATGTTAACAGCAAACTAGTTGTGTGCAAATTAAAAGATGTGTGCAAAGTGGACAGATTTGGAAAGCTGGAGGACCCTAACTGTAGGAAATGCATTAACATCAGTGACACCTGTACCTCCCTCCTCTATCCCATTTTCCTAAAGAGAAAGAAAACCAGAATGTTGCAATGTCTATAATATCCCTATAATTCATGCCAATACCACACCTAGGCCTTTTGGTGTCCTTGCCTTTCATAGTGTGAGGGAAGCAAACACTGATTAGTAGTGCAAAAGGGAGGACAAAGGTTCTCTGTGCCCTGCTGTAGCTGCAAATGTTTAAAATGCATGTACCTGCCAAAGATGGAAACTGGGGGACTCCCAGAAGGGATGTCACAGTCACGACCTGAAGGAACACTTCAGGGTGCATTAGAAGTCAAGTCTAGGTAAACCCCAAAACTTTTGTGGTGTTTTTGTTTCACAAATAGGTCCCTGGTAAAAGACATTGAAACTAGAGGGGCTGCATGTCAGTGCCCTGTGCCAGCTCAGTATCAATCCAGCAGGAACTGCAATTTTCCAGACTACTTGTTATGCACAATTTCAGTGTCATAGTCATTAGAAAGGCTCCCTGTTAATCTCAAGCTCTCTCATGCTCCTCACTGGGCCCTCAATAAGAAGCATAACCCACAGAAGTATAAGAACAATACAGGTAAAAAATGGTAAGTATCAAACTTGACCTTAAAATTCTTTCAAGACAACATATTTACATCTAGATTCCTTAGCCCAGCTTCAGGGAGTTTTGTGACTCATTTACTCACAATGACAAACCTTGCCCCTCCATCACTTTCCAGCAATCCTATCTGTTTTATAAATCAGCAAGGGAGTCAAATAATGCCCCTTGTAAGTCAGATTCTCTTGTGCCAGTCAGTTCTCTTGTGAGCACCATGAACATGGATATGCTACCTGCCAGTCACACACACACTTCATACCTGCTGTCAAAGAACACTGAAAGCTTGCTTTGTTTGATTAGAAAATCCACAACCATTCTTACCAAGTGAGAGAAATTCACTTTATAATTAGTGTCATCTACTCTATGTTCTAATAATTATGATTACCAGTTTAATGACAAAGTGATGCTACATATGCCAAGGTCATTTAGCCACAGGTAAGAGAGTGTGGCATTGTACACTGGTACAGATGTTGGGCACAGAAAAAGAGAGTAGAATTTGAAAAGGGACAAATGAAAAGGAAAAAAAAAGAGATATGAAAATTATAAATGGCAGACTGGCACAGCCAAAAAAGGTGGAGTAGGGCAAAAAAACAGGAATAAAGTTCACAGGGAAAAAAATCTCCAAGCTAGTGTATCTAAATTTAATTTTTATTATATGTCTTTTAAAATATTAAAAAACAATGTGTTAAAAATGCCTTAGAAATTCTGTGTCTAGGTGCCCCAAGCAGGAGTTCTGCAAGCCTTTAACATCTTGGTAGTCCAGTCACTGCACATACAGGAACAAGCAGTGTAAGCTTTGGCCAGCTGTGCATATGACAACACAGAACATAGATTTTGACTTAAACAAATGTTCAACAGGCTTAAAGGCATTTGACAGCTACACCACAAACCTTCTGAGAGTTATTTCACCTTCTGTTCAGTTTGTGAAAGACACAGTTAAGAAAAAGTACAGCCAGATTTCTGCAGAGAAAGTCTGTTAAACAGTAAAGTTTCTTTGTGCACCACATACCAGCTGCTTTGGATCATCCTATACGATAAAGCTTCCAATACAATCTTCTATCATGAGGCAATTTAACCCCAGAGTGGAAACCTGAAGAAAGCAGTATGGTAAAACATTTGACAGAAGAAACTACAAAAGCTTCAGGGTTTCTCTGGCTTACAGAAAGGGAACAGTTTAGGAACACAGGCAATAAAAGGCTGTATACTCCAACTGAGAATGTATTTCTCAAACACAGAATAATTCTGCCTCCCTCCTGATTTCAAATACAGACATTCCGCAGAAGGGATAACAACTGTAGTGCACCTGCTTCACTTAAGCCCATTAGAAAATTTTCCCCTGGGAATGACCTTCCATACCCCACCACAAGGCTGAGCAATAGAAGATGCAGAGGAATAAGGTCCTGTAAAATGAACTCACCAGGCAAATCAAACAGAACTTTGATTTCACTCTCCATGATGTCCAAGCTGAGACACATCTAGTTCTCCTTTAGCTCTGAGAGGGAGGCATAACTGTGGGAAGAAACAAAGTCTGAGTTGTTTAAGTGTAAAAATACATACAGCATGCTTTAAAGGAATTATGACACTTCATCTTGATATGCTGTATTGTTCCACCTAATAATAAAAATCCAATTATTCCACCCCTAGGCTCAGTCTTGTCCAGTTGCTGCGATATTACATGCACCAATAATGCAAATTCCTCCATCCCACCTCTACTCTTGCCAGCCCTTCCCACTAATTTTCCTTTCTCTTTAATAAAGATGAAATCTCTTAAGCAAGCACAAGCTTGCTTAAGATCCCAAGATTTTCCTTTCTGGGTTTCCTTTAAAGGGCCTTCACAGGAGAAAAATTAGGTACATTATCAACCCAGTCCAGTTTGCACATTTCATAATGTTTGTCATTTCCCTCTAAAAATGAGAAATTTCACTACAGAAAGAAGATCTAAGTATAAATTTGCAAAACCCCCTTTGCCAGTAGAGCTACCAGTTCCTCTAAACAGGGTCTGTGGAGAGAGAGGAAGGAAATAAAATAAAATTCACTTTCACAGAGTTTTCTCCTGAAGGTCACCAAGATCTGGATCTAGCAAAAGGTTCTTTCAAGATGGAAGAATTAAACTTCATGCAGAAAACTTATTTTTTCATATGATATGAAAACTTAAATCCTAGTCAAACCCTAGTAAAGTCATTACCTTCTTTATTCGTTCTGGTGGTTTTGTGTTTTTTGAAGGGCCTTTTTTGATAGAAAAGGAACTAAGAAGAAACAGTCTTAAAACCAAATCCTCTTCTATATACTAGACCTTTACACCTTTACTTTTACTGAAGGGACTTTTTTTCCCCCTCAGTAAATCATTTAGTTGTTTTCTACTTGCTGTCTCCCCTTTCCATATTTGAACACGTCTTACAGGCTGTCAGGGGTCTTGTGCTCTGCCATGAATGGATCCAATTCATTTATCAAATATAAAAGTTTCCTTTTACTTCCACCTCAGGAAACACTTGTACAACAATACAAGTGCCTTAACCAAACCCTTTCTTCCATCCATTTTAAAGCAGGTTACTTCCTTGTAGTGTTATTAGAATTATCGGGAAGGAAAGAGGCACCTGCGAACATTTCCTTAAGAGATAAAAAATCCGGCACTTGAAGTTTTAGTGAGAAAAACAATTCAAGCACAAAGTGAAATTAGGACACATTCAAAGTGAACTCATTACTCAAAGAAAAATATACACCAAGGAAGGAAAATTCTGTCTTCCAGTGCAAGAGCCAGGAAAATTACAAATTTCTTAGCTAATGGTCAGATCTAACACTAAACTGCTTGTGTGAGGCTTGTGAATCCTAGACCAGCAAAAGCAGCTGGCTTTGGCCACTGGGTCCTCCCAGAGCCCCCGAGGTCAGTGACAAGTTCTACAGGCACAGGGGACGGCAGAAAAGCTTTCACTGAGTGTCAGTCAGCGGGACTCTGAGCCTTGGGCTCTGACATTTGCAGCAGGACCTCAGGGCTAAAGGCTGGCGAGGTCTCCGTGCTGAGTTACTCAGTTTTCAAAACTGCACCTTCAAACCGGAGCCACGGACAGACAGACGGACACTGTGCTGCTCTGCGTGCAGCACCGTGCTGTTAACAGATGACACTATGTTATTAATAATATTCAAACAGGAGTGCCGTGCCTGTAATTGTCCCTCGTTGCAGAGCAATCTCCAGCAATCAAGGCCCAGTGCGGGCCCGTGGCGGTGCCGGCCGAGCCGGTCAGCGCCGCGGGGAGGCTCCATTAGCACGGGAGGGGGCGGACAGCGCTCAGAGCACGGGGAAAGGGGGCGGTCAGACACGGGAGCACATCACCAGGACAAACGACGGGAAAATGAGAGAATCACGGAACTGTCAGGGTTGGAAGGGACCTCAGGAGATGATCCGGTCCAACCCCCCTGACAAAGCTGGGTTGCCTGGAGCAGGGGATACAGGAACGCATCCAGTTGAGAAGGAGAGCCGTGAGCACCCAGGGCAGCCAGTTCCAGTGCCCAGCCACCCTCAGTGTGTATAAGCTTTTCCTCGTGTTGAGGTGAAACTCCTTGTTTTAGTTTATGGCCACTGCTCCTCGTCCTGTTGCTGGGAAACACCGAAAAGAGTCTGGCACCATTCTCTTGGCCGCCACATTAGAGATATTTATACGAATTAATGAGATCCCCTGTCAGTCTTCTCCCAGGAGAGCAGGCCCAGCTCCTCCAATCTCTCCTCACAAGAGATGATCCAAACCCTAAACCATGTTTGTGCCTTCGCTGGACATTATCCACAGCTCCTTGTCTTGAACGAGGAGCTCAGAAATGGACACATTCTCCTCAGGAGGGACAGAAGAATTACTTTTATTTTTAAAAAAGCGAAAAAGCGAATCTGGCGTGCAAGAAGCCTCTGGATCAGGGTCGAAATCACTTGATTACATTAACTGTAAATAAGTATATATATATAGTATTAAGGTCTCTACAATCACTTTTACGACGTCGGAACTCTGATTTCTTGTAGCCCCTGTCAACTCCCTCCTCAGGCCCTGGCCCCGCCCCTCAGGCCCTGGCCACGCCCCTCAGGCCCTGGCTCCGCCCCCCATGCCCCTGGCTCCGCCCCTCAGGCCCCGCCCGTTCCCGGGGCGATTCCCGGTGCCGTCCCCGCACCGCGCTTTACGGCAGCGGCCGCGGTTTGCGGCGGGTCGGGCCGGACATGGTGAGTGAGGGGTGCTGCTCGTGTCCGGTCCGGCGGCTCCCT